TCAATTTCACCGAGATGAATTTCCTCTTCAGGAAATGTGTCAATTTCCCCAAGATGAATTTCTTCTCTGGGCACAATTTAACCCGTCCACGTGAATATGCAAGTGATAAAAGGAGAGAGCCTCAATTTATCTTACGCCCTCCTATTCTTCTGTTTCCAGCAAAATGGCCAACTGAACAGAGATCCACATTGACCTCTGCAAGATTGGAGTAGATAGTTGGTCCTGCTTTGACTTCCTTAGATCTGTTTACAATTTTCCTACTAAGGGAAACCATGAAACCAGAGTCCCCGCTTCTGTGGAGGCTGATGAATGTGCAGCCAGATGTGCAAAAGCTATTCAGGATGCTAATGTGGGTGTGATGTCAGAAAGTGATTTATCCAGCACATCCCTGTTCCCACTCATGTGGCCTTGGGTAACACAATTGCTTTGGTCTTCCTCCTCTCTGGAGCAGCGAGGGGCATCTAGTGAAATTGTCAGGACTATTATTACTCCGATGTAAAGGACTTCTGCATATGGAATCAGTTTGGTAGAGCGGTGAAGGTGCGGGAGTAGAAACTAGGTGATTGTGAGTTCTAGTTCCACCGTAAGCATGAAGACAGGGTGGGTGACTTTAGGCTGTTCGTTCTCTCTCAGCCCAATCAACTCATGAGGTTGTTGTTGGGGGAAAAAGCAGGGGAATTGTTAGGTATTCTAGCGGCCTCCTGTCGAAAATGCTTGCCTCCCCTTTGGAAGGTTGAGAATTCAATCCTAGGTAGCCGCAAAATTTTCTCTCCTAGGATGCAAAGAAAAAAAATATATCTGCTGCGAACTCCATGTGATGTCAGGAAGGGCATCCGGCCAGTAAATGCTCAGCTCTATTCAGTCGCCCCCGGGGCGACTCTACGCCGAATTAAGGAATGACAGGGTCATAAAAAAAGGGAGTTTATTAGCTACGTTTGCGTCGAGTTGACCAATATACAGGATGGATGGATGGACACTTTTATTTAATTTATATGCTGCTCTTCTCACTATCCAAAGAGGCTATAGATGTAGACATCAATAGATCTTTTAAAAACACGTTGCCCAGCAGATGGCAGCACTTGGCCAACCCTGGTTTATCTCTTGGGGCAAAGCCGAGGAGACCTGGATAACACTCAGAATGGAGACCACAGTGAAATCCCAGGGCAGACTGGGAAGCTGGAGAAAGATGCCAGCGGCAGCCCTTCACTTCTGTGACCCCACCACAAAAACTGCACGGGAGGGGCCGAAAGTTAAGCTCCGCTTTCCCTACCCCTACCCCAAAATCCATTGGGCACTAAGAGAGGAAGTGCAAGTTCCTACACCACTTAACCTTTGGTTGTTGTTAGTGGCGAAGTCATATCCGACCCCATCGTGACCCCATGGACAACGTTCCTCCAAGTCCTCCTGTCCTCTACCATCTTCTGGGGTCCCTTGAAGCTCACTGCTTCTGTGACTCCATCCAGCCCCCTCCTCTGACGTCCCCCACTCCTCCTCCTCCTCCTCCTCCTCCTTCTTTTTCCCTCTATCGTTCCCAGCATTTGGCTCTTCTCCAGGGAGTCCTTCCTTCTCATGAGGTGGCCAAAGTCTTTGAGTTTTATCTTCTGCTTCTAAAGAGCAGCCAGGGTTGATCCCCTCTAGGACTGACCGTTTGGATGGCCTTGCAGTCCAAGGGACTCACCGGAGTCTTCCCCAGCACCAGCTTAAGCCTTTCAAAGCTAATAAATAAAGACCTAGCAAACACACACACACACACACACACAGAGAGAGAGAGAGAGAGAGAGAGAGAGAGAGAGTTTCCAAGCTAGCCATGAGGTTTGCTGTCCTGTTATTTTCCTGAGCCCACCACCAGCTGTTTCCCAGAGTTGGGGTGGGGGTGGGGGCTCTTTCTGCCCCCTTCTTGTCCACCCACAGGGGAATCACCAACTCTCAACCTCTTCTCTTCTCTTCAGCAGCAGAATTAAGAGGAAAGAGACCGGAGGAAGGGAGGATGAAAGGAGAAAGGAGGGAGTGAAATGGGGAGGGTGGGGGGGACAGCGCCAGCTTTTCCTCTTACTCTCCCGGTAGCCTCCAGCCAATGTCTTTATCAGTGACGTGTGGGCGAACTGCTGCCTCCTCATATTTAACACCCACCGCGAGGCAGGAACGTCTCTCTCTCTTTCTCTCTGTCTTTCTCTCTCTCTCTCTCTCTCTCTCTCTCTCTCTCTCTCTGCCTACCAACGCGCGAGCCGCCGCCGCCGCCGCCTTCACCGAGGCTGCAAACGGAGGGGAGGGGGAGCCCCGCTGCACCTGCCAGCGCCCCACCTTCCCTCCTTCCCCCCCCCCATCCTTCCAGCGAAACCCGATCGGAGCCAGCTGAGCTGCAGCCGCTGGCTGCTGGCCGCCTGCCTTGTCAGGAACTGACCTTTGAAAGGGGAGGGGGGGAGGGAATAGGTGGGTGGGTGGGCTCCTTTCCTTTATCCCTCCTCTCCCCCCCCCTTTTTTTTTTTTT